ACCACCACTGCAGCGCCCCAGCCACCAGTGGTCAATGAGACGACGACCACTACTGTCATGCCCCAACCACCAGTGGTCAATGAGACGATGACCACCACTGCAGCGCCCCGGCCACCAGTGGTCAATGAGACAATGACCACCACTGCAGCGCCCCAGCCACCAGTGGTCAATGAGACAACAACCACTGTCATGCCCCAACCACCAGTGGTCAATGAGACGATGACCACCACTGCAGTGCCCCGGCCACCAGTGGTCAATGAGACAACAACCACTGTCATGCCCCAACCACCAGTGGTCAATGAGACGATGACGACCACTGCCGTGCCCCAGGCCCAAGGTATAAAATTACTAAGCTGCATATCAATGTTTTTAAACATTTTACTCCACACAGTTGCAATGTCAAAATCTAACACTTTTTTTTTTTTTTCTTTTTTCCTCCCTCACCCTTTTTCTCCTCAAAGAATGTCAGTTTGACTGTGATTTTGAGCAAGATTTTTGTCAGTGGAGTCAAATACTTACTGATGTGTTTGACTGGAAAAGGCAAAGTGTCTCAACTCAAGCAAATAGTACTGTTCAGTCTTCTGATCACACAGCAGGAGGTAGGGCTCATTGTTAAATTTTGCAGTCATTAACCGAAATGTACATCTTAACAGGCCTAGTGTTGCATGGACTTGTTTTCCTAATGTCAAACACATCTTTACTTTAACTTTTCTATTTTTTTTTAATTATTATTATTTAGGAGGCCACTATCTGCATCTTGAAATCAGCAAAGCAACATATGGCAACACTGCTCGTCTTCTAAGCCCGGAATGTTTTGATTCTGGCCCACAATGCCTGCAGTTTTGGTATTACATGTATGGCTCTGCTGACACAATGGGTATCCATGTATATCTGCTTCAAGCCAGAAGAACTGATGCCATATGGTGGAAAACAAATGGGCAAGGAAACATGTGGCACCCTGCTCAAGTGGAACTTGTAACAGCTGGGGCGTTTCAGGTAGCTATCTTGACATTTTGAATCATGACTAAATGTTAATGCTATGCTGTCAGCAGGTCTTGGCATGTAAATTGTGACAAATATTAACATTTATAACTCTTTTTGACATTAGATTATTTTTGAGGGCCGAATAGGATCCAATGATGAGTCTGATGTGGCTATAGATGACGTTTCACTACATCATGGGTTGTGCAAAGGTAACTTTTTTTTTTGTTTTATTTTTAGTATAAATTGAAGATTAAACTATAATCTAAATATATGATGTTACAGATATGGTCAAACAACCAGCTTATGCTCCTACAACCTTGAGCCCTAATGTGACAAGTTCACCACAACTAACGACTGAAGTAAAACCTACAGTTTGGCAAGAAAATTCAACAAGTGACCCACAAGGATTGACTACAATTAAACCAGCATCTGTGAATGAGACTGTGCCACAGCCTCCAACCACAGTACAACCAGCATCTGTGAATGAGACTGTGCCACA